CCATGCATCTCTAAACAGAGTTCGGAAACATTTTAAGTTATGAATAGTTGATGAAGACCCTCTTCAGATTTGGTTTTGGGTCATCTATTTCTATACTATTATAGTTGATTAAAAAGGCCACTGGAATTATTTCCATAGGAAAACAAAATACAGTGCCCTCCTGATGGAAATGTTAGCTGCACAGGAAATAAGATTAAGTATTGTCTTTGCTATTTTTATTAATCTAAAAATACACAAATAAACTGCAAAACTTATCACCACATTAACATTTGTCATAGGCTTCTGTGGCATAAGGAGGAGAAACAGGTATCATCAAGAAGATAGGACTTCTGTAGATGTGAATCTAAACTTGAAAAACTGCAAGGCATAGGATTCCTCATTCTATGTTATTGCTGTGAGCTGCTTGCTCTATTTCCTCAGATTCAGAGGCCTAGATTGTGCCAATTCTCCTGCCTATTAGTTTCTGTGAATTCAGAATTTATGGACCTAACAGCAAAATAAAGACTGTTAACCTTCCTAATCCCTTATAAGTCCTAAAGAGAAAGGTCTTGTCCTTTAAAACTATTGTGTATTCAGTTATATACAAGATGCATAATATATTTAACAATATAACATATACAGTACAAGTTTGTACTGGTAAACACACATCTATTGAGAATAAAGTCTTCAGATTTCAAGACCACAGTTTACTGCTTCATTTACACAGTGATAATCATGTGATGGAACACAGTTTCTCAGATATTATCTCATAGACCATTTGTAAAATACACACGGTATATTTCTAATCTTTGAAAGCAGACCGAAATCAGCAACAGCCATTTAGACTTTTACTTAAATTTGTATTACTGAAAGATTTTTTTTTAATTGCTTTAAACATAATGCACATTTATTAATCAGGTAGCAAGCAGCTGAGTAAGAACCAAAAGCTCAGGTGAACTTCAGATTTAATATTTCTAGAGTTTAGTGTAAGATGTTTTGCTTTATTTTATTTATCATGTCTTCTGATTATTTTATGAAAAATTAATGCACTTGATTGAACCTGTAATTTATGTCATCAATCATGGCCAGAATAATCTATTCCTAGGTTCTTAAGGTACCTAAGACTATGACTGGTGAGGCACTGGAACAGGTTGCCCTGAGAAGTTGTGGATGCCCCAACCCTGGACGTGTTCAAGCCGAGGCTGAATGGGGCTCTGAGCAACCTGGTCTAGTGGAAGGTGTCTCTGCCTGTGGCAGAGGCATTGGAACTAGATGATCTTTTAAAGAGACCTAAAGATCCTTCCAACACCAACCATTTTATGATTGTATAAGATACTCAGTTTGAAATGTTCTTGCATATATCTATCCAACAAATTAGCCCTGTCTGCTAGTGATGCCATTATTCAAGATTATCAAAGCAAAATTTGAGAGACCACACAAAGATATCTCTTACTGAATTTTATTATTTGAGAATCTGCATTCAGATCAATTATTTCTAATTGCAATCAGGTCTCAGAAACACTCAGCTTTAGTTATGAGCTTGATCAGTGAAACCAACTGGTGCTGCATAAATCTGGAACAAAGAGAGCACCATTACTCACTTTTCTCATCTCTTTTCTCAGCTAATCCATTGGTAATCTTGTACAGAAAGTAAAATAATTTACTTGTTTTCATTTTTATTCCTGTGTAAGTACTTTCAGTAGTGGATGGATGAGTGTAATTTTTTTATCTAGATGAGTCAGGTAAATATATTTTAGAACGGACTTTCTTTGTTGGGGCATCTTATCATTTCCATATTGCAAATGTAGGCCTAAGTGCACAATATGTAATAAGCATGCACGAAAGATCTGTATAGTCCCATTGAACTCACGTAGTGGCATCAGAATTTTAAAGTTATCCACATAGTTCTAATACTGTAAACTTTTATGATCGGCAATTCTAGGATCCTAAATCTAGAAAACAACACTTTACCCTTGAGTCTTTAAAGTTTTCATTACCAAAGCTCTCTACACTTCTGCTACGTCCTGTGCACTTAGGTCTCTGCCACCCATTGACAGCACTAAACAAAATTAGTGTGATGGAGCACTGCATTTTAGGCTCATTACATATATAGTACCACCCACCTAAACTGTAATAGTATATATACTAAAGTATGATAGCCACTGATTTCTACAGAAATGCCTTTTCCCCCCTTAAGCACAGCACACACAGTACCATAAGCATTCTGAGCATTAAGAACTACGCTATTCAGCAGTACCTGTTCATAAAATTAGTTGAAAATCAATTTTTTTTTTTTTGAGATATTTTGGAAGATCAGTTAGCTCAATTAGTATTGCTAAATACTCCTGAAAAACTGTGGGGTTTAGTCCTTCGGTGAATAGAATGTCCTGGGATGAAAATTCTCTGATTATGCTTTAATTCTGCTAGTGACTAGATATTTTGTAATCTTTCTTCCTTTTATCCAAGCCAAGAAGAAAGAATGACGTAGTTGTTGTCAAAGAATAGAAAACATCAATTTATTTGGAAGTATTACAAATAGTGAAATATTTTCAGTTGTAAAATCAAGAATACCTCTCCTTTTTAACACTGATTACTAGAGGAGTTTAAAGACAAATTTGTGTTATCAAATAGTTCAATAATTCTGCATAATTTATGTTTTCTTACTTCCCCAATTACAGGACTATTACAAGACTTTAGATTTCCATAATTCAGTGAGCACATTTGATTAGGCCATGTATTTCCCATTTAACAAAGGGTTATAAATTTAATTAAGATCTAATTCAAGTTAATTTAACCTAACATACCTAGTGGAAACATTATACTATTTTAAATTTATCTGGTATAACGTAAACTCACATCTCTCACATCTCCATTAAGTCCTTTATATTATAAGACACATTTAAATTATAACTACGACCTTGACTCGCAAAATTGAAGTTACAGTATTGAATGCTAAAGCTATATTTTTGTATTTAAAATATTACCAAAATTAAAATATAAACAAAAATTAATTACTACATCAGTATTTTGAATACACAGATTTATTTTTTTACTTTTATTATTTTTACTATATTACACTATAACAGAATTAATGGGCAGGCTGGATAATCAAAATTAAAAGCATGCATTAGAGATGAATGAATCTGATTTAGTGAAATACATTTTGATGCAGCAGTTGTTTCTTGCTGGTTCAGTGAGTTTTATTCAGGGGGATATCACCTCTGGCCATAATCTACATACTTCAAATGATAATCTGCTTTACACACAACTGCTTTTTGTTTGAACAAGTGCAAAGCTTGATAAGATATATCCTTCTGACTTTTCATAGTTTATAGCATTTAATAATGAATGCTTTGAATAGTGAATTTAAACTGTTTATCGAATATAATGCAATCAATAAGATAGAAAAATGTCTCCTTGCATAGTTGATATATGACTGTATGACTTGAGTAGTGTTTGACCTTAATGAAATATTTAAAAAGGTTTCATTTTAGCATATTCATCCATCCCTAACAAAATATCAGAGTAAATCAACAGTCAGCCTGAGTTCCTGTGAATACTTTGTGTAAAGGTTCTTCTCAAAAGAAACATCAAGAATCTAGAAGGTAGAAGTGTTGAAAGCATTTTAAAATTTATAAACACTAATTCTTACCTTCTAGCTTCATTCAACAAAGACAGATCAAAAAAGATGAAGTGTATTGCAGATTTCAGGTCCACAGATCACATCATTTTGTATGAATGAATGACATTTATAGGTGTATTCAAAGAGTAAAGAAGTAGTTGAATATAACAAGGGTAAGATTTATGCCCACACAACAACATTATTTTCTTCACTGGAACTCAAAATGTCAGTTTTTGTGGGCAAATAGTTACTCTTAGTAAGTTCTGACAATGTACTTTAAACAGTAGTTTGTTACTGAAAGGCTAAAAGAATCTCCGGTTATCAGTAGGTTGTCTTCAGCAGCTCTTTAGCACAGGACTAAAGCACAAAAGAAATATTGCAAAGAAGCTGAAAGCTAAATAAATTAGATGAAAAAATTGCTCCCTTTTCCTTCTGGTTCCTCCTGGTATATGTGTACCCTTGTCATTCAATATGTTACAATAATAGGAGCTATATAGTTTTAGATTTCAGTCTTAAAATATCACAATGTCCATATCTATTAGATTCTGAGAAAGTGTTAATGAAACTTGAATGAGAAAAGGAAGCCTTTTTTTTTCTTCCAGTTGTAATAACCAGATAAAATTTCTTCAGAAAAAAATTAGAATAGAATGTCAGGAATATCCTGGAAAGTTAATATATTCTGAGGAAGTAGGGATATTTTCCCCAGTGATATACCATGCAAATATTCATCTCAGAGACAAAAGTAGAAGGAAAAAGTATTTGTCCTTTACAAAGTCTGACCCTTGATTAGTGTGGCTTTTGATGTTATATTCAATCTTATACACACATATAGGAATCTGCATATTAAAACTGAATGCTTTTTAATATCATTATGTGTCACAGACAGTTAATGTGAGAAGATTATAATCAATTGCTTTCCCATGTGTTGCTCCAGTTTCAGAGAAAAGCAATTTTTCAATTAGACTACTACTGCAAAAGTTTGCATTCTTTGAAGAATTTCCACCTAATGATTCAAATTGACATAAATCCATAAAAGCAGCTTTGACAATCCACCATTTCACCTCTAGTAAAAGGAGGAAGAGATCTGAGTGTGAAGGGCCTCTTTTATCCTTCATGGTTTGGGGAGGATAAGATGTTCCTAAGCACCCAAGAGACCTGAGCTTTTGTTTAATCCATTAATAGACCTCCCAATTATTATGATTTAAAAAGAGACAGCCTTTTTTTTTCTCTCTCTAGTTCAATATGGTATAGAATGGCAGATAATAATTTGGGATTAACAGGTACATGATGTATTACCTCCTTTTTTATGAAATTTACCTAAAACATTATGGTTTGGTACATTCTGCTTTTCAAAGTTTGCCGATGACTTACAGTTTATTTGCTTTTTTCCTTTTTTTAGTTGGATACACAATGAATGATCTCATTTTTGAGTGGCAAGAAAAGGGAGCAGTTCAAGTAGCAGAAGGCCTCACTCTGCCACAGTTTCTGTTGAAGGAAGAAAAGGATTTATGTTACTGCACCAAGCATTATAATACAGGTAGGAAAGAATATTAGTGATTACAATAGGAAAGACATTTAATATTTTTTGTTATAATAAATGTCACAGCTGGGGTATTTTTTAAATGTTCTCACTGAACTCCAAATAACATTAAAATGTACAGATGCATTGTGCAGGATAACTTAAATAACTGGCAAACAAAACAAAACTAAACTACCTCAAGACTATTCCTTCCCTTGTTCATTAAGGGCCAACGTGAACAAGCTGAAATCATGCTTAGTGTGCAATTCCCAGGTATATGACCTGGACATGAGTATGCAGTGGTAGACCACCAGGAATGGTTTCAAACTGAGAGTAGGTTTCACTCAGATATTAGTAATGAATTCTTTAATATGAGTGTGATGAATCACTGGAACAGCTTGCCCACAGAACTTGTGGATGCCCCAACCCTGGAAGCATTCAAGGCCAGGGTGAATGGAGCTCTGAGTAACCTGGTCTAGTGGAAGGTGCCCTGCCCATAGCAAGTGTGTTGGATCTAGGTGATTTTTAAAGTCTCTTCCAATCCAAGCCATCCTATGATTATGATTCTATGATTTATGATACTGAATTGAAGCCTTTGTAGAACTGAGATATCTAGCTCATTATCTCTGGGATTATTTGAAAAAGGAGGGGATTAACATTAATAATATATTGTCTCATTTTTAATTGTAAAAACCTATTTCAATAACTGCACAATCACAAGCATAATAATCCTAAAAAGATGTGTAGCAAAGGCTAAGAATGCATAGTTTATATCTTCTCTCAAGAAAAAAAAAATCTAAACTCTTTAATTCTAATCCATGTATCTTTTAATTTCTGCTCTCCAATATGATTGGAGAGCAGAAATTAAAAAACATATTTTAAAATTTAAAATTAGAATAATTCATTTGCATTCTGTGAAATGTCAGAGGGAAAAAATTAAATAGGTGGTGCCCATAAGGAATGTCCTGTTGTGATCAAAATTAAGGATCAGTGCTTTTCAGCCCTGTGTTTTATCACAACTGTTGTGGTGACCTAGGAGAAAAAAAGGTTCACTAATGATTTCCATTTAGAGTAGAAAGATATTTATAAAGACATTTTGAAGTGTTCCCTAAAATAAATTTGAAATACTTAAAATACATTTTTACTGTACAAATACTAATACGTGGATAATCCTTAAAAACATTCCAAAAATGGAGATACCTATCCTATAGCAGGGTAATTTTTTCACTCAAACATCTCTTTGTTAATGATAACATTTTTTTTCTTTCTACCATAATCCTTATGACAAATAAGAAGATTTAATTTTCATTATTTTCCACTGTCTCCTTTGAGATATACAGGCAATTTATCCCCCTTCTGCTTTTGTGCCATTTTAACATGTGCCTGTAAATGCATTTCTATATCCTGTCTAGTGATATTAACAAGTGAGAATTCATGATATAGAATATTTTCCGAAGTTCATTTGCATAACATGATGCATCAAAAATCTCTAACTGAGGAATTAAGACATTACCATAGTGTGTAACCTGGTACTGAATGGAAACTTGTTTTAAAATTTCATAATTTCTAGTGATTTCCAAACACCTCATCCAAAGATGAGTTGTACCTTTATTTGTTTGTCTGAGAACTCACATTATAATCATCATAGTTTAAGCCTTATGTTTTTGACTAAAACTTCATTGTTTCAATATTTTTGAGGCATTACATTTTTCTTCACAAGCTATGTTTCAAGCCTATTTAATTTGGTAAAAATGTTCATCTAAGGAAAAATCAGAGAACATGCTACACCTAGGCATACTGCACTAGGTTGTATGGAGTGAAATTACTTCTACTGTTTTTTCCCCGTGGCCCTAAACTGAGTTGAGAACCAGGAGCAACAGATATTATTAACATGAGGTATGTGAGGCCTCATTCTTCTCAAAATGTGGCTACAAGTGTGCTGATCTCTGTGCAATTCTGTCACATTTAGGTGGGAGAAGGGGTTTACTGTGTTACACCGTCTAGAGGACAGTGTGGCAAATCAGCAGTCTGTGGTACTCTGTATTGCTTTGGCTAAACTGCATTTCTGTGGCCAAGCGTGCTGCAAAGTGTCAGTCACCCACAATCCTGGAAAGATGCAGGAAGTTCATACCTCTCCTGAAAAAAATAATTGGACCATTTAATTTGTCCCTAAAAAAAAATCAATCAAAGCATTTGCTAACACAGAAAACTTGGAACCCTGGATGCAACTAGACTATGGAGACTTTAAAAAAACATCAGCAAAAGAGAAGACAATCGCACAACAGTGGAACCTGCCTGTGATGGCCAAGGGGGAAAAATGTGATGCTGAGCAGCACCATCTGCAGGCAAAAGGGTATGTCCTCACGAGGGGAAGCAGCAGAGTGGCCTGCTCTGAGTTACAGCAACAAAAATTACAGATACAAATCTAGAAGAACTTTGGCAGGACAAATTAGGTAAAAAAGATGATCTTACTCATGCAGGACTACATTTATTGTGATACTCTCCTCTTCAAGATAACAGTATTTTCTCCAGAGTTTGTTTCTTTGTTTTTTTAATTCAAGCAAGTTAATTAAGATTAGAGGAGTTTGGTTTCTAGGAGTGTAAGAATGCATTTTATTTCTTTGTTACAACCAATATTATTAACTACCTACCACTTGTAGAAAAAAAGCCCATAAACATTATATTAAAAGACAACAACAGCTAAGAGTTTATTTTCACTATGTCACTTGGATATGAGAACAGTCATGTGCTTTCTTAAGACTCCTACAATGAGCTATTGCAGGCAGATATGCCTTTAGGACATCACATAAGAAACAAAATTTTTAAAGAATCAATTTTCAAAACTTGAAGTAAAGTCTGTTTCTCTGGCCTATGACAGATTAGTTAAAATGAACTCTTAAAATAATACTAAGCAACTGCAGCTGGTATGCAGTAAGTGTTTTCAAATTAAATTTAGTTATAACACAGGATGGAAAACTCTTCTGAGACATCCTGTAAAACAGAAAAAAAATCCCAAAATTCTCCCTGTGAAAAAAATCAACATGAAGCTTCAGGACAGTTTGTGGAAACTCATCAGTACATGTCTTGTCAGTGTTTCATGCCCAATTGAAAATGAGTAACTGCAACCAGAGCTCAAAAAACAAACTGCATCTAAATATAGAGACATAACAGTTTCAGCAAAAGTACAGCAAAATGGCTCATCAAGTCTCATGTTCTGAAGTGATACAACAACATTTCCGATAATTTTCGTGTTTTGTGTCCACAGGCATATCCGTAGTGACACATTTGGGAAGTGAAGTAGAATCATAACAACCAGCAAAATCACATATGAACCATTTATGTTACAAGGATGGTCTTGCTTTGCCTCATTCCTATGCGACATTCATTGCTCCCCTGGGCAATGAATGCAACACCCAATTTTTATTTCAATCACAGATAATTTCAATCATGGCTTCAGAAAGCCTAATATACAATAGCTTGAATTTGTGCATAATAGCATTGGTTAACAGGCATAACCAGAAATACTCTGATTCTTGGTTTTATTCCTGCTCCATGGATAATGCACAACACCTGCACTTGAATGATGCTGCTCGGAACTGTCGTGGGTCTATTAATGCTTTTTGGCTCAAAGGTTTGGATATAGAGATCCTGGAAACAGTAAACTATGGTTCCTACACTCACCACCAGAACTGAAGGATTCTGAATGTGACCATTTCTGATAATTAAAATCTTGATGAATGACATGTTTCCCTAACTCCACGTTCCCCATTCAACCTCCTAACACATATATCCCAAATGCAATCTTTTCTCATGATCCCTTTGGTTTCCCCATAAGGTCAAGCAAGTTGCTTAACAGCCTGTAGATTGTAGCCCTTCTAGGTCTCACCTTTAGCTGATCTAATGCCTTATAATCAGGGGACATGATAATGATAGTGATTAAAGGAGACATAGCTTTGATGCCTTACTCTGCCAACAACAACTCAAGCCCCTAATTGTTTTGACAAACAGCTGAACCACTCTTTTTGAGAGATAGGAGAGATTTTTAGGCCATGGCTTTTTAACATGTTTTTTTTTTTCATAGATCATTTCTCCAAAAAGGAAGTTTGCAGTTCTTATTCAGGAGGTAGTCTATGGGTGTGAAATCTCCGAAGCTGCTCATTCCTTCACTGAAAAAGCAGAAATTATAAACACTTTGAAAAACAGAGTCTGTGGCAGGCTGAGAATGTGATGCAAAAAACAGCACTGTCTGACTCTTAACAAGGTATTTTTCTCAAGGAGAAAGAAATCTCAGTTGTCACCACTGCACTGATCAAAATTTAAGCATTCTACCCTAAAGATTCATTGAATAAAAATTCAACAGCTGTCCTGAAGGTAGAAACATTACATCTAGACATCTCTTTAGTTCATATTTCTCCCCTCTCTGCCCCTGCTAACACAGTACAGCACGTCTCTTACTTCTGTTCAACTTGATATCTCCCAGGCTTATCCTGTAGAACTGCTACCTATCCAGTCCATTCCAACCTGTGCCAGTGCGTGGGGTATTCCACCCTAATTGCAGAACTGTGCATTTGTCTTTGCAAACTGCTGTGATGTTGCAGTGGATTGTCCAGCCTATGAAGGTCCTGCTCAATGCCACTTGGTCCTCTGTTCTGAGAGAGATGGGAACTGCAAGCACAAATTTATCAAGCTGAAAAAGAAATAGTTTCTCTTTTCCATATTTATTTTCAACTTTCTTTTACTGCAGTCATTATCAGTCTTACATCAATGTTAAATTTACCACCTGCCCAAGTATTTGTTTCCCAAAAAGCTGCATAAAGACTCTTCTTTGCTGTCTAGGAATTTATGTAGTCAGTTACAGGTGATAACATCAATACTGATTTCCCCCAATATGCTACTGATATCCACAGACCTGAAAGAAAAAACTGAATGGTAGCACATTCCTAGAGTAATTTTGTGAATTTTGGCTTTAGATATATAGACAACAGCCATATACATGAGAACTTGTCTAGTTCTCTATACCAAACACTGGAAAATCATAATTTCTATTCAGGCTGTATGATGATACATACAATCTGTTTTATCTGTTTTATGACAAGGAATAAGCCTGTATAGCCCATTGTTTAAACATCACCCCCCATGGTCAGTGGGAAGATGTGCTAAAGTAGAAAATTGCTCTTCTTAGGTTACTCACAGTTGGCCACAGTAGCAACAACCAAAAAAACAGTACGCGATTTAGGTACTGACTGAGTGGAAGGAAAAACACATAGAGTGACTGCAATATATATTTTTTCACTACCTATTATTTTCAGCATGGGCATTGCAGGAGAATCAGGCCAGCCCAGCAGCTCTAACATTGTTGTTACCAAAGAATATGGGTAAGAGAGAAAAATGCACCATCAAATGCACATACACCATCACGTTCATTTCACATGCATAGATACAACACTCATGAAGTCAGCACTTTTGGTGCCTTTAGTACACTTAAATACTTGGTTAGGCTAGACTTACAAAAACAAAGAATGTTATCTTGTTTCAGGAAAGAATGTTTATCCTTTAGGAAGCCCTCAATAGCTTTTCTTTCTTTTGCATGACAAAAATCTGTCCATTTTAAGGACTGTGTGCACATCTATATTTTGCTCTAGTCTGAAACTACCATCAGGGCATAATTTTTCACTCAGCCTCAGCAAACCCACAATACCAGAAAGTATACTGTCCTTCTCCTAGGCACTCTCTGTGACATTTACAGTGCATATCAAAATGAACTAGAGCTTACCTTTTACATACTGCAAATTAATTGCTGGAGTAATGCTCTTAGATGCTTGTCTATCATCTCCTTTGCCAGCTGAGATGACTTCATGGGGATGTCTGCTCTTATCAAGTATCCAGTCAAATAGATCAAACCACAGCTAAACTGGCATTGAATTTTAAATGGAATACAGGAAGAGATAAGAGGCCCAAAGCTGGATGCTGGCTTCAGTTGAGAAAAAACAACACAGCCTCTGCTGGCTGCCTCCTATCTGAAGCTCACATCAGTTAGAGGAGGAGTTTTCTTTTTCCACCCTGCTTCATTAGCCAAGTTTATGCAGGTGGTTCTGATTTCAGTCAGGAAGGGAAAAACACTATCACCTCTTCCACACTTAGACCAGCAACTACTACAACTGCAGTGCTGAGACACTTCCAGCTGCTGCCTTTCTGTAATAGTCAATAGTGGAGTAACAGAGAAAATGTCTAACCTGGGCCACCAGTCTCCCTGGGGAGTTACCATAGATTAATTGTTCATTGTTGTAATGGAACAGAGGAACACAGTGGTCTTGACTAGGAAGCACTGATATATATGCCTGGTGTTTCGATAAACTCACTGGGTCTAAGACAAAGGCAGGACTCTTAAATCATACATGGTGAGGAGTTATTTTTCCACTTTGAGACACACTTTCTTTTTTTCTTTTTGTGTTTTTCTTTTTTTCTTTTTTTTTTTTGGTGCTGTAGATTTTGAGGTTTTTTTTACCTTGGCCAATGATGTTTCCAAAAATATAAAACTAAGTAAAAAATTGGTCAGTGTAATTCCTCTGACACATCATTCAGTCCTAGTTCTGGCCACTTCATAATCCCCACTTTTTTCTCTGTGGTTACAATATATTCTATTCACACTTCTTTCATTTAGAATATCTTTTGTTTTGTTAGGATCCTGTTGTGCACAGCTATTCTTCTCTTTCTCCTTAGTTCAGGTACACCTGTCAAATTTGCAACCACATAAAATAATCCATACCAGAGCTACAATATTATTTACTGGCCCCCGTTTAGAACTGTGGAATTTTTGTGCTGAGTGGTCTGTAATAATTCAAGTCCACTGCAGTACTCTGGAAAGAGACTCAGATCTCTTATCCCACATTTCTCTGGAGGAAAAAAAAACATACAAAAAATAGCCAAGGTTTGTTGACACTCCGTGTATGCATACACATATATTACGCACTCTGATGCCCCTTAGTTCTCCTTCCTAATAATGTTTTGAAAGGAGAATATAGGACCCCATAAGAAGAAAATGTTTCATGCTGAATGATTCTTACTGATGTGATATGCCAAATAAAATGACTTTGCAAGAGGCCTAGATTTGGTTGATACCTTTTGCCACTCCTTACCACCGTGATTTACTGTGGTGTATGAGGAAACTGCTGCTGTCCAAATCTGCTGAATTAACAGAATGAATGTCACAAAAAAAGAAAACTTCAGGGTAAGAACCAGTTTGAAGTAAAAACATGATTCCAACAAAAGCCAGCTGGTAAAGAACTTCTAGTTATGTGGGGTGTACTAACCATCTAAGTAAAAGAATATATTGTGTAGGTATTCTTTTGAAGACCTTGGAAGAGAAATGTAGAGGGAAATCCTGGCCTTTTCTAAAGTGAACACCAAAATTCCCCTTAACTTTGTTAAACCAACATTTCTTCTTGTGATTGAAGCAGAAATCAGTCTCGAAGCTGGGGCAGCAGATGGTTGAGCCAGGATTTGGGACACAGATTTCAGGAGTGTAGATAGGATTCAGAAAACGCTGGCAATTAGGAATGGAACTAATAATTGAGCTTGCAGATAGAAGACTCCTGAGATACAGACTGTAATTTTAAAATTGAACATCATAACAAATGTCATTTTACATTTTTTTTAGTGTCTCAGCAGAATAAAAATGTCATAAAATTACACTGATTGTGGCATCACAGAGAGAACTAATGGCTTCTTAAGAGAACTGTTATGAAAATAATCAATTTCAGAAAGTATTTATAATCACTTATAAAAGCTTTAGTTTGACTTTATCTGATGCTCATTTCTGTATGCCTAGTGCTATTGACACAGCATAATGCACAATATATTAGTAAGATAAGCTCATAAATAAGTCCATTACATATATATTTTTGATATGATAAATATCAAATAACTATTAATGTGGAAAATTGATTGGGAAAAAAGCTATCAAAAACTATAGGAAAACATAACCAAAAGACTTCATACCACTTAATAAATAAGTAACTGTATAGCTTTCCATGTTAGAATTAGAAATAGCTTTCATTCAAAATAAGGAAGAAAGCTGAGTTATGTATATTTCTTGCTGTAAGAAAAAAAAACAATCTGGAAAATATAAAAAAAATAGGTTTATGGCATTTTTGTGAGCCAGAAATAGATTTTTTTGTTCTGGTTTGGTTAAATCAGTAAAAGTTCCTTGATGTTCTGTATTTGGGTAAAACCAGGTAATTTAATTACCTTCCTAAAACTGCCTAATCTCAAGTCTTCAGTTTCTGTTTGAATCTTGGTCATTGCACATATGAGCTGTAACAGTTTAATGGGAATAAAGAGAGAGATTTAGCAGACTCTCCTATCGATAACCTAATGCCCATACTGATCTCACTATATTTTTACCAATTTTTTTAGACAAAAAAAAAAAAGTTTAAAATTGAATGAAAATACAAAGGAGATGTTATGCAATGGATGAGTAAGAACTTTGTTTGCACACAGATATATTTCCAAATCATAAATGGCAAAAAAGTGTGGTCACTCACAGGAAATTTCCTATTGTCCTAACAGATTGTGATTCAGTTTTTATATGGAAATAAGTATTTCACAGGTTATTGAATTCTTAATTTTTCAGGTTTTCTGTCCCTTTTCTTTCCAGTAGATACCCTATTATAATGGAGACTGTGCATATTAAAAAGAGAAATCCAAACATTTGTCTTTTATTTGTGAACAAATATATTTGACAGAGCATACATTCTCTAGAGTGTGCACTAGATGTTGACAATAAAAAACATTCTATTTCCACTGAATGTTTCTTCTTTGTTATAAAAAGGAAAGTTTACATGTATTGAAGTCCGATTTCACCTTGAGAGGCAGATGGGTTACTATCTCATCCAGATGTACATACCAAGTCTATTGATTGTGATTCTCTCCTGGGTGTCATTTTGGATCAATATGGATGCAGCTCCAGCCAGAGTGGCTTTAGGCATAACAACTGTGCTGACGATGACAACTCAAAGCTCAGGTTCACGAGCATCTCTTCCAAAGGTAGGTGAAATTTCCTTCATTTGTACTACATTAGTCATAATGTTATGTGACAAACACTTTCAGTCAACCTTATGTGTTTTGATCATTAGCATTCAACAATTTCTAAAGGAGATAAATAATTTTGAAACATTGAGGGAGTTTTTTTGGATTCTCCAGACAAACACATTTTACTTCTCCCATCTCAACTATTTAGGCAACCACATATCTACTAAATTCCATGAACCTTAACAAGAAATGAAAACAATGTTATTCAATACTACATAAACCCTGCTTAGTAATTGACTGGCTCATCCTTTTTCACGTCCCAGTATCTGATGACATACTAAGAGTTACGACTGAAATTCTAAAGGCCATACATCCTGACCTGTTCTCAATTATATTCCTTTCTCAAAAACTGCCAACGATGAATTAACTCACTAGTTACAAACATAGTTACATTCAAATGTAGAAAAATATGAACCTAACCAGCTCCAAAGAATTGTATAAAAAATGCTAACAAGACAATGTAAACTGCTTAAAATTTATTTCTATTATTAATTATTTCAGTTTTCTGAATTATAATTATTTTAAATATTTTCTGTTTCATGTTAAGGCTTATTCCTTGACCTTCTTCATGTGCCATTGCAGTTAATAGAAATAAAATGTATACAATAAGAATACACAAAGTCACATTCAGTATTAGTTTGACCATGATATTTTCAGGTTGCCTAATTGCATTTTTTTCTAAGTAAAATAGATAGGCTTAGACAGTTGAGTATGCTTTGTGTCTCAAATATATGGATCTGAATGCATCCAAATGTAGCATCAACAGATAGGAAAATGGAATGCTCTAAAAGCTCAGAAAAACAATGTAAGAGGTTAATAGAAGAGCTATATATGTGTTTTGTCAGATTTTGAGGCCTGAAGCTGGCTACGTTTGCTTATATAAAAAAGCTCCTGTAAATCTACGCACAAAGACAGAGCAGGCCTTACTTTCTTGGTTCAGATTATGTCCTGCATCTGAGCTTTGCCATATGGGATTGCAATGAGCTCTATTCTGTATCTGATTTTCAGTACTTTCACTGAGTCAAAATTACAGGACTAATTTAAAACTATATATTTGATTTACTGTGACTATATTAGCAATGAACGAACATATCAGAATTCTCCACCTATGTCCCTTCTTCTACCTAATTTTTGTTCCAGGAATTTTCAGTTGCATCCATTTTAATACAGGAATCCCCACTAGTCCTACCATAAGCTATTCTGTGGTTCCTTAGTGTCATTCTCAGATCTCAGTGGGAGAAATGGAGGAAGAGAGTGTGTTTCTTGTGGATTGTTTGGTTTGTGATATTTGTGATACAGTACACTTTAAGGAACTGTTAATGATTTAAACACATTTTGTGAAAGAGTAAATTTTAAAAAAAAATAACATTTATAGATTGAATTTTTATTTCTCTCATTATGTAATTTCATGTTAAGTTTTGTTTGATAACAGTAGTGTTTGAATGTGGAGGTATTAATGCACTTCCTGCTGACATGAAATACTTAATTTCACATATGTAGCTTTAACATGTTTGGTCTTCTCCTGTCTTATCTCCATAGGTGTCATATGTCAAAGCCATTGACATATGGATGGCAGTGTGTCTGCTCTTTGTATTTTCTGCACTTTTGGAGTATGCAGCTGTAAACTTTGTGTCAAGGCAGCACAAAGAACTTCTGCGATTCCGCCGCAAAAGGAAGAAGAGCAAGGTAAATATAATGATATCCCTAGCTTTGAAAGAGAATCTGACTGAATTATGCCAGGATATAGGGTTAATTTGTTAAACATACTCCAGCCTAAAGCGGCAATATAAATAAAATTGCAGCACAGCATAAAATTCACTATAGGTAGAGGGTCACTACAAGGACTGTGAATTGCATAAATCCAACTTGAATTCCTGAAAGAGGGATTAAGGGGGATTTAAATGAGGCATGGACCATGTAGGAGCCATCTGCACAAACATGAATTTCACTCTGTTAAAGGAGATAGATTATTCTTCAGCGAATGAATGTTACTGATATTTGCAACAGTCTGTACTACATTGAAATTCAACAAAAAATATTTCCTATTTTAATTCTAGTACTCAATTCAAAGCCTTAACAGTTTCATAAAGATATTCTTTAATATAAGAAATACTTTTTCAAATAACAATATTGGTGGAAAAATAAACATTTTACTTTAAAAGACTGATAAAAGTGGGGTTTTTCTTCTGTCCTGTTAATTTAGTGTAAATTGTTCATATAAATAATAAACTTTAGCATGGTAATGGTTATTAATATTTATTTCATAGCTGGAGATATATAGACTACCATAAAATAACTCACTATCAGTGTGCAAAGTCAAACAGCTAAGGCTACAAGTTTGAACTCTGAAGTCTGTAGTTAAATCAAGCAATAAGGAAAATTTCTTACAGCAATATATAATTCCTACTTCTGATTTCACAAAGAGTAAATAGTTCTCCAGCCTACTCATTAAATGAGCACCCACCTTTCCACAGGCTTTCAGTCACCATGCAGGATATTACAAGCGAGTGGAAGTCTGACCATTGCAACATGATTCAGTTCCATTGTCTTTCATTCCTGAAGACTTACCTCAGTTTACTGCTTACGTGCAAGGAGAAGACATTTTATAGGTTGTTTCCCTCTTACTTAGAAGAAATTGAAGATCTACAATGCTGTAGAGCCTGCCTGAGGCCTGCCAGCCTCTCTGCTAGTAAGACTCTGTATTAAGAGGCAGGCTGGACAGTCAAATGAAAATGACATTTTCATACATTTGCCTACCTTGTGTGTTGATCCCAGACTTCTTAAGCTGCACAGAGAAACTCATGTACTGTAGCCTAGACGGTGATTCATGTACCTGCTTTCAACATTCATCCCTGTGAAAAATAGGCTTTGTTCTTCTCCCTGACAGTAGCAGAAAAAATAGAAGTTTTGTGACAGGGTATTTGTTTCTGGAATATGGCAGGTCTCTGAAACCTACTTAAAGGTTTGGAATGGAAAGAATGGGATGGGGCAGGCACAGATTACTGGATAGATGTAGGTGAGCCCTAACAAATGCATGATGTATCAAATACAAACAGCTGTGGTGAGTGATATATTTATCTTTATACCTTTAGTCCATTCATCTTTCTCACCACACTGAGAAAATTTCTTCAGGATCTCAAGCAAATTTGCCACATTAAACTTTAATGATATCTTTCTTAAATACAGGTCAATTATTATGAGCATAGGGTTAGAAACTGGCAGGTGATATCTCCCTCCTCAGAATCAAACCAAATCTCTTTCCAGCTCTCTCTTAGCAAGACTTCAAACTCACCAAAGACACTTGTTCAGCAATCACAATCAATGAAATTTCAGCTTAGAAGTATGTAAGGTATGTTCATACCCTTAGAGGTATGTAAGGGAGGATCCACGATATACAAAGCAATTCTAAGAGAAGACCTCTTTAAAAATTTAAATATGCACATGAATAACCTCACTGACTTAAGTGTTTTGCTGCATTAGTGCTTAACATAACAGTATAGTTGAATTCATGCTTAAAAGTCCTTATTCTCATTTTACACCTCATTAGACAGTCTTTAGCTTCAGGTAAGTTACCTGCTAGATTGTCATAAAATTACAGGATTAGACTTAGAGACTTCAGGGTATGTACTAAAGCATCAAGTACTCCCCTTAGATTCTAAAGGATAGAGATATGCACTTTAATGCTTTTCTTCATAACATACCCAGGTGAGGGTATTAAATATTTTGGGGGATATATGGCTTTCCCTTCCTCCTGTATCTGTAAGTTTCATCATGAGAAAGGCTTCTCAGTATAAAGTTACCAAAAAATACTCTGTTCCTATTCAAGGTTATGATTTTAGAGAAACTGTAGTTTTTCAGAAAAGTTTAATTTAACTAAATGTTTCTTGACTCACTCCAAACCCATGTAGAGCTAGAGCTCCTGGCCAGAGTTAACCTCTGAGAGTACACCTTCTCAAGCTTTAGAGACAGCTCAGCTAACTGATTCTCTCTTTCTCAATGGTTTATCAAACCATTCCTTGCCCAACAAGTATACAGGACTGGAAATGTCACAGTATGGATATTTTATTTCTTCAAAAAAATTGGATCACATCCTAAACCCTCTGGTATACAAATAATAAATTATGTTTTACAGATTTAAAAATGCAGTTAATAACTAGGTTTCTTTACCAGAAATAATATTATTTATTCACCACAATTTCTAATGTGAAATGCAGGCCCCAGGATCTTAAGTCAAAGTAACTTGTTTTCCCTTTCTCTTTTGTCTTTTTCAAAATTGGTTACTTCAGCTCATGATTATAAAGTTTAGTATGCTTGTTATCCTTTTAGACTAGGTCAAACAGACACTGGCTGTCAAGAATTAGATTGCATTGACTTTTAAAACTGTATAAAGAAATGTTCATTTGACCACAAAGCCAAAAAAGGTGAAAAGGCTGCATTTAAAATAAACTTCCCTTGAACATTAAATCCGCTTCCTCTGCAAAGTGAAAAACACTATTCTATTCAGTATTTATGTCCAAAACTATTAGAGAAATACATCAATTAGGATAACTTATCAGACTTTTACATTCTGCATGCTTCCATTCTTGGGACATTTTACTAATGTCAGGTTTTTCTACCAGGTGAATTCTAATTGTTAAATACAGTTTTGGGGTTTTTTTTTTTTTTTGCACTGTCATTTTATCTGCAAGGGTACATCAAAACTTACAGTGATTTGACTGTGTTGCAAAAGTCAAAAAATAGATGAGTTTGGAAATATTTCATTTCAGGTATGTGTTGACAGAAGAGAACACGTATGAATAATTGCAATAAGGCAGCTGAAAAATTTCCAAAGTCCATTTTCTTTGTAATTTGAAAGATATGCTTGTTGCAAGAAATATTTAGTTTTACCAATAGTGCAACGATTGAACTTCAGTGCCTTTGGGAGGTCAGTGGATCCATTTTCTTGACTTAAGTCAAGGTCATTTATACCTAATTCATCCCAGTCAAAAAAATTCTACAAGCTCCTCTGAAACCTATTCAAATTGCTTGAAATGTTTTTTACTAGTGCGTTTTTTGGCCTCTAATGGCTTGTCTAGGAGGGGTACAGAAAACAGACTATTTCATTCCTTTATGTCACCATTTGCACATTTCCATTCAATCTTTTCTTTAAGTATTCCCAGTTGGTACAGTTTTGGGGTTTGGTTTGGGGTTTTGGTTTGATTTTTGTTTTGTTTTGTTTTTTCTCATTTGCCTTCCCTGGAAATTCTCCTAATAAGTCCATGTACTTCCTCAAAACTGTGTTTGCAGCATGAACAACATGAAATCTACCCAGTAACAGTTGAAAGCAGTCAAAGGATCAAATGATTCAAGTTATACACTTGTTTATCCAAACCATTTTACCACTTCCCTTTTAAACAACATCACGTTACTGACCCATATCAAGATTGTGACCTCCCATATCTTCTGGGTCATTTTCTGGAACTACTGCAGAGCCATTGGCTTTCCATCTTATGCTTATGAAGTTGATTATTTCTGGCTAAATGTAGTACCTTGTATTTGCACCTTCTGACTCTCCTCCTGTATTTTTCAGATGCTTTGTTCAGATCATTGAATTCAATTTTAACTCTAAACATATCCTCAAAAAAATGTGAAGGTTTTCATAGGCTGCAATATTTTGTAAATTTAATTAAAACTTTGTGTTGTTTACATTGTTGGTTGAAAACACAAAGGAACTGGAATCTCTCTCTTAAAAAGCATATGATGGAACTCAGATAAGACCCTTGCAATAAATTATACAGTTATACAAATTGCAATTATGTACAGAGCTGTAATAAGATACTTTGGGATACAAAGCGCATCTATTCTTGCCATTTTCCTAATGCTTTTTCCAACTACAGTCACTTCCTCTTTTTTACACCATCTAGTTCATTTACAACCTCCCATCCCAGACAACAGTAACAGCAGCATCAAAGGCAATTCTTAGGTATAACAGCACCCTCTGGCCATCCTTTTTATGATAGTAAGTATGTAATCATTCAATGATTCCAAATAACTGAATAGCAAATTTCTTTCCAGAGGCTCAATACAGATTGCACAGAATTAACAAAAATTTTGAAGTGTCTGGGATTGCGTTATAAATACATTTATAAATAAAAACTATTATTGTAATATAATATATAACCTAGTAATTGTATTTGCCCATAAGCATCACAATAGGCATAGGAGATTTTTTTAAAGGGTCTAATTTCTTTATGATTACAAAAATGGCACAATTAATCCTGAGAAGAGGGGAATTTTAGTTCCCAATTTGAGACCTCATTTGATACTCAGTATATGAGCCATAGTGCTTTGTCTCTGACAGAGGAAAAAAACCATACAGTAAACAGAACTATTTCAGAAATGTTCTATTACCATTCCTTCAGAATGAATGACTATTAATGATTAATTTACTGTTACACTCCTTTCCTTCTTGAAAGACAAAAGGAAAAAATATGCAGAATTAGAAGTCATACAGGGATACTGAAACACAACTATTATCAGTGCTTTTTCTTCATTGTATTCACATTCTATGGGGGAAAATATTAACTCTGTACATATATAATAACACTGAATAATAACACTTTTATTTTAGATCAGCTGTTAATATGTATTAGTTTTCAAGTCTATTCAATCTTTTAATTCTATTTTCAAAAATCTAAAGATGACCATATCTTTAGAGAGGAAAATAGACAAGCAAACTAGATTGTCTTTAATGGTAATCACACCTCTTTTCTTTTGTTTTCTTTTTGGTCAACCCATCCATTTTGATGAAAGTATTTTGAGGGAGTTCTTGATGGAAGTGAAATCAGTGAATCATTACAGCATAGCAATGGCTTGAGATGTACAAGACCTATAGACGGGACTTTGACTCAAATCTACAGTACAAATTTAAGGGTAAACTATGAAGAAGATATCCCATTTGTCATAGTGTGATATCCAATCATTAATAGAGGCCCTGTCCTTTTGTCTGAAATAACGTCTTCCCATGTGAACTTCATATACCTTCATTGCTACCTGTATGTGATGACGTGAAATGTTAATAAAGGTACTGGTTTTTTAATTTCATAATCCATTTTGATCTGTTTAAATCTGGACTAAAACATAGTACTAAAATTTTGACGTTATTTGTAGTGCAAAAAAATTCATTAACACTTTCCTTCTCAAAACTGAACAGTAAAAATATAGTGTTCAAATTACCAGAGTCAAAGCTTCAAATATGCTGCTACCACAACCTACAGTCAATAGGCTATGATGTTATTTTCAGCCCTTATATCTATTATTCCTCAAGATAAATGTATTATTAAATATATGGATAGAAAACAGCATGGTCACAAGACCACAGACAGTGACAGCTTTCAATTAATTTATAGTTAAGTATTTTGTAGAACAACACTGATAGAGAAATAAACAAATTGAAATTATTTCCTTCAGATCTCCAGAGAATTCTAACTTTCTAAATGAAAATTGTTATCTAAATTTACTTCCATTCTTAAATTACAGTAATTTTAATAGAAATGATAAAATATCTAGCTCTACGCAGAATAGCTTTCCAGTTGTTAATTTTAGTCCTGAATGTGTGAAAAGTGCATTCAAATCAAACTCTTACTAAAGTTCATTTGTGATCGTATTTTTAAAAATTTATCAAAAACTTATAAGAAATCATTTTCTTTTCTTTGCTGAGGATCCACTAAAATACATAAAGGAAAAAAATCTTTCTTATTACTTAAAAGAAATAAAATTCAAATAATCTAACCAGTACTCAAGACTTTTTCAGGAGAATTCACTGTCCAGATTATCAACTGGAGTATACAACATATGTCTTTTAGGTGATTTCTAAGTGGTGGACTCAGACTCCTGAATTCTGAGAAATATTTCTAGTCAAAGAGACAGGCTTTAGCCAAGTCAATCAATAATAAAAAAAATGAGGTGTGTCATTGACATTTTCTATAAATGCCTTTGAAAAAGCTCTCAAGAGTTAACATCAATAATAACAGCACAAGCAGCCTCATACGAACCTGAGGCCAAGTTAGTGATTTTGCTGCATTATGAACCTACTGGAAAACTTGCAGAACCACATTTTGAACAATCCAGCTGCTACCCCAAAAAGAACTATGGTGGCACTTCCATCAGCCCTAGCACTTTGGTCTGACTTGGCAGGCTCCAAACATCCTGCCTGACCTCATGGAGACACCATCCAACAGACACTGGGCAAAAATGCTGAACTCCTAGAAGGACCTTCACGTCACTTCCTCAACAGCAGCAAGCATTTCCAAGCAGCCTGCTGGCAGACCGAATACAGGATGTGTGCAAGCACACAAAAAAAGGAGAGATCTGTCCTTTAAAACATTCTAGGGGGTCATTCCATTCACGTAAGCCTAATACAGAGACAGTAAAGTCTTAGTATATAGTACCTCATTCTGAAAACATGCATAGCTGAAAGCTGCTACTCAGGAACTATTTTACTGTCTTTCTCAGCCTGTGCAATCATAAGCATTATTTTCTGGAGAAGAATGAAAAGACAAAACTCTGAAATGCACATATGAGAGTGTTTAAATGGCAAGTTTATGGTAAATTCTCACAGTCCATGTATTTGTAACTTAATACTTCTGTTAGCTGAAATACAACACTACAATTCCTCTAGAATACAACTCCTTTAATGATCTTATTTCCTATACTTTTCTGACAGGAGAGGAATACTATTGTAGTAATCTCTGTTTTATCACGTCATCAAATAATGATCCTATCATTTTGTATTTCTGTTATTCATTTCCATAGTAATGTAAGTCAGTGATTTTCCTCCTCCTTTTCTTTCATGTTAATTTTTCTTTATTTTTATGTTTTCAAAGGCAAAATCTAATACAGATTTGAAGTACAAGTTTCGGTGAACTGTATTAGTCTCTTCATTTATTCAGTTTACCTATATGAAAAATTATTGCAGTTGGGGGATAACTACAGCTCTGCTGGATGGTCATGCTGATATCTAACTAATTCACTTCAAACTTAGTAGTTTATCTGCATTCTTTTGTAGCTAACTTATTCAACTATTAAGAAACCTAATTGGAATTTTTTTAAACACAGCGATTAAAAAGGGTTCTTTAAGTAAGTACTACTTAATGGAAGCTTTAAATATGTTTAGAATTAATTCTCCATTGAAAAACATTTTCAGATTTTCCAAATATCACAGGTAGTTTCAGAATGAAAAATGTGGATGCTTGGATTTTAGCTCAGCTCTTTGAGAAATTGCATTTGTATATACTAAGACGTTAAAGAAAAACAAAAATTGTTTCAGAACTATTGAATTGAAACGAATTATTTGACTTTGAAACATAAATAAATAAATAACTTTTTTTTGTTAGGAAGTGCTTTAAAATATCAAAAATTCTCTTACAAAAGGAAAATTGCTGTTCATCTCTTTTTATAATACTTATGGAAATTATTTTTGAAAATAATTATTTAAGAACCAACATATACATAACAATTTATATATTTCACAGAAATCTAAAATCCTAAAACAACTAGGATAAAATAGACATGAAAAATAGACATTCCTGAGTTTAAAATTATTGAAAAAATGTTGAATACCATCCAAATCATGTGACTATCCCTGAGGAGCCTAAATAATGAGAGGTACACTGGAATATATTTCAGAAACAAATTTGACTTTGACTTCACAGACTATGTATCATTTATTTGCCTGAATATGTGCCTCTTTTACTGCTTGAGGATACCTATAACCAGGTAAAGAGAAGCAAAAAATATGTCTTCAGACAAAAGGTACATTTTTTAATGAAAATTTGAATAATTTAAATGTAAATTAATATTGTAGATATGAATAATGTAAATATGAAATATGAAAATATGTCTATCTTCAGACCATCTACTTTTGTTTCTGTGCCACGTGATTAAAAATCACTTTCTCTTATAGTTCCGTGAATAATGAATGTCTTTGCCAGTTATCACCTGAACTGACAGAAGAATGAGTTGGAAGAAAAATCTGGCCTTTAGTTTTCATTCACTGTATTTTAAACTAAGACACTTTACATATTATTCTCTTTATCTGATGCTTTCACAGAGATCAGCAGAAATAATGTATACAGATGCAATTAACTAAATATACAATGGCCAAATAGACAGAATTCTCACTAATATTATTAATATGCACGACATTAGTGATTTTATGATGAGTATCTCTAGATATCTAGAGGCCAGGATCCCAGTTTGTTAAACCATGTACAGACTTGATGGTTGTTGTCTAAAAGACTGTTGTGAAGTTTTTCCATTTGAAGACCGTGGATATTTACTGTAAATGGGGAAACTTAAACCAAATCAGAAGTTGTGTGCTCAATTACTGCTAGTTTACTAAGCTTTCTCATTTCTCTAAATAGATTACAGAATCTATAAACAAATAGAAAAAAATCTGTGCTTGTTAAAACTCCTGCAATATTTTTGACAGACACTGATAGGGATGAAATTTCAACCAGTTAATATAAACTGTGGATTCAAGAAGTTACTGAGGTAATGTTGTGATTGCTATTTAGCAGCAGGTAAAATTTCTGTAAATAATAGTAATTTAAAAAAAAAAAACAACCTTCTTGCTCTTTTTCTTTTTTATTTCTTTTTTTTTGTCTAACAGGATGATGATGCACGTGAAAGTCAGTTTAGCTTCACAGCATACGGAGTGGGTCCATGTGTGCAAGCAAAAGATGGAATGGCACAAAAGGGGCCTAATAATCCTGTTCAAGCTGTACCAAAAAGCCCTGATGAGATGAGAAAGGTATTCATTGACCGGGCCAAGAAGATAGACACAATATCCAGAGCTTGTTTCCCATTAGCCTTTCTGATTTTCAACATTTTTTACTGGGTTATTTACAAAATCATCAGGCATGAGGACATTCACCAATAACAAGACTAAGGTTTGTAGTACATAAAGATCTGGCTGTCACTCAACCGGAGGCTTTCTGTTAAAAAAGTACTTCAGAGGAGTGACTGGAAGAGTTAAAAACACTGAGGTGGTGAAAAAAGATCCTGTGTGGCCTGAAATGACCAGGATGGAAGAATGACCCCCAGAGAAGATACATTTGCTATTGCACACTTTCCTTGTCAAGCTAAATATTAACAAATTATTCATTATAAATCACTCTACTAATGAGGCTTTACTGCCAAGTATTTATACATACTGTTACACAGTGGTATAACTGTACAGTACTCTCTGATGGTCCTTAATTTTTTTTTAATTCTGGTGTATTTTCAATTTTAAAAATTGTTCCTGAGTACCCTAGGTAAATCCCACAGTGTTACAGAATAGATTAGTGTTTGTAACCTTGATTTCAATTTTACAATACAATGATCAATTACTGATTGGAGAAAACAGTTTAAAAGACTTGATCTAGTCTTAAGGACAGTACCGGTGGTTTTGCAGTGAATATATTTGACATATTAAAGTCATATGATTTATTAAATGTACTTCAGATTACTGTTCCCCTGGGAGGTGTACATTGAAATAATCTCCTACACCACAAGGTATACAGCCTAATAGCCTGCCTATCACATGAGAAATATATTAAAATTTGTGAAGTATTGACTACTGCAAAGGATTTTTTTTCTTTTAACTACTTAGACTTTGATAATTGAACCATATTTTTTAATTTTTTTTATATTTTAAGAGTTTTCATTCTCAATTCATAAAACTCATAGAGCTAGTGAAATATACAAATTACATCAAAATTTTGCAATACTTCACTTTGATTCAATGCAAAGAGATCTTGGACCAAAACTGAAAGCAAATAATGAACTCCATTGAGGCATTTGGAGGATGACCACAGCAATGCTTATGCACATTCATCTCCTACATGTTACATAAATATAGAAAGCTTAATTTATGAATATCTGAAGTTTTCTGACTCATTCTTTGAAGTTTATTAATATAACTTAGATATTGGTTAAGAAGCACTTCACAGCTTTGGGCAAACATGAAACTCATCAAAAACATAAAAAAGGATCTGAACAGTCTTTTACATTTACTGTATTTCACATTAATAAATAGGAGAGGAACCATTAAAACTCTTAGAAAGATCTTCCCTGTTTAGGTTTAAATTAGTCATATTAGTTGCTTCTTTGAATTGTAACACCATAGATCAATCTTGTCTATTGGTAAACAAAACCATGCTAAGATATAGAAATGCATCATTTAGAATTATTAAATACTCGAAGTCCAGTAGCTGAGGCTGATTCTCATTGCAGAATTTTTTTTTTTTTGAAAGGTTTAAAATTTTTGGTGTGTTGTTGCTTAGAATGTGTATACAAAAGCAAAATCAGCTGGAAACAAACATCTGGTACACTGCCAAAGGCATGGTGCATATGAAATAGAAGTAGCAATGTAACTCTGCATTGAGTAACATAGCAACCTTGGGTTTGGTTTGATTTGTTATTGTTTTCCTCCAAGGATTACTTAGAGACATTCTAAAATAGTAGCTCTCAGATTTTGTTAAACTGTGTCAGAAAGAAGGTGTATAATCTGATTTATTTTAAAACTGTTATTCTTTTGTAGTTTTACTTCATTTATGATCTAAAATTAATTCATTTTACTTAAAATATTTTTTTTTGCTGAGATGATGTCTACTTTTTCTTGATTTTTTTATGTGCGTATTCTAAAAAATCATGTTCACTTATGAAGGTGCTCAGCTGTGTGTGAACTAATGGTTGATATTTCAGTTGAGTTATATTCACCTCTCTCAAAGATATCTGTATGAAAAGGGATGTTAATTTGCTTCTATTATCAGCAAAGTCAACTGTATTTTGTTTAAGGGCTGTTTTCTAATGCACATAACTTTTTGGCATATCATTCTCCTGCCCTCAGGTGAGTAAAGATATTCTATTTTGATATAATGGAATCAAGATCTCTCCTGAACTGGTTTTATGGGTTGAGGTTTTTTCTGTTAACTTTGCCAAGGTAACAAAAAGAAATAATAACTTAAAATTCAAGTTTCATTTAGATTATTCCTAAATGACTTAGTGTAAAGGCACATGATAGAGAAAGAGAAATGTCATTTGAGATGATAAGAAATTTCAAGGCACAAATGCCTGCTCTTCACCACTGACTAGGGGAAAAGTCCAAAAATGCCAGCAGGCATGCCAGCCCTCTTTACAAAGCTAGAATCAACAGCTACAGACATCAGCTAAGATTAGTGTGTGTGGGAGTTGATTCTTTTGTAACTGTATAGTGAAGCAGCAGAGAATAAGATTAAGAAGACTCAAGAGTTGAAAGGTACTCTGCAGTATTTGTCAGGCTGCAGTATTTATGCTACAGTTCCATGAAAGAGACAGTGGAGAAACAGAAGAATAATTATCAAGGAAATAATGCTTGAGGCAGATAGTATCTAGCAGGGTTCCACCCACATGTAAAAAAGAATCTGTTTTTTAGGCTGAAGTAGATAGCCACCTCATTTCACTATCACTGGACTGGGGCTGCGCACAAGTCCTTAGCAAAGTCACACAACGAGGCTTCTTTTAAGCACAACCCCTGTATGACAGGCTAAAGGAGCTTTGTCCAAAGTCATTATTCACCATAGGTGTAGACCCTGTACTTCTCAGGTCATGTTTTTGTGGTCTCTGTAGGCCAGCCCTATACTTTAAAAATAAAATACTGGTACTAGAAGGTCATTGTAACACAATGAAAACAGAGGGAGGCACTGTAGGATCTGAATGAATACTCCAATAACACAGCTACTAAAGAGCTGGCACAGTCACTACAGAGGGAAAAAAGGAAGGATGAGACATTCTAATTATTTTTCCCAGTCTCACAGTATCCTTGCCATAGGTACGCTTGTTCAGGTAGGAGCAGTAGCTACAGGGAGGAACAGTTCACATCAGCTGCTGCAAAGTATATGTTGTTTTCTGAGAGTAGTTTCTACCTGTGCAGATTGACTTCCACACCATCCACTTTCCTAATGTAAAGAGAAGCAGAACAGGAAGGTCCAGGATGAAAAGTGTGGGCTGTGCATAGCAGAACAGGGGCCACAGGAGAAAGCAGAAAGCAGTGCTTCTCCTATGACTGTCTTTTCTTCCTGCACTAAAGAGAGATGTGGCCTAATACGTGTCACCCCTCATAAGGCCAAAAACTCCAGGACCTTGAGACAAGATAAGAAAAGTCCCTTTGAGGTGCAGCAGAAATACTAAACTACCACAGTACCAGAATCCTGCTTAAATTTGAAACAGCAAAATGCATTTTATTTTTAAAACTGTATTCAAATACCAACACAATAGGCTCTAATGGTTAGAGGAATGGCTTTTTTTCTTTATAATGCTGAAAAACTGTAGGAGGTTTGAAGGGGTTTTATTATTTAGAATTCAGCTATTTTAACGTCAAAATAATGCACACTCTACTTTCAAGGACTTTTGATGGCAAGCAGTATTATTTAAGCAGGTTAGTTGAATTCAGGAAAGACAGTGCGTTTAATTAGGATTTAATGATCTTTTCAGCTCAATCAGACATTGACTTTCTTTGGATTGCTTTTATTATAGTTTGTTCAAAGACCTGCTTTATAAAGAATCATTTGTAGTGTGTGAGAGGTGATTCTGTTTAGTCACTAGACAGACTTATGTTTAGGTGATTTAGATTTGCACTTTACATTGTAAGGAGTAAGGTATTGCTTCCACTTTGTGTATTAATCCCTTACAGAATTGTAGGCTGATAATGTAGATAAAAATAGAATATAATAAACTGTACAAAACCTTATTTTTTAATGGTAGGAAAAAATAGAAAGTCTTCCTTGACCTTAGAGGGGCAAAAAAAAGTATTATTTTTAGCAATAATTTTATATTAGATGGAAATAAATTTATTTATACCATTTCCAGCCCAAGCTAACATGGTTGGTTGGAAAAGATGTACTTCTGTGCAACTTCTGCTCTCATTTGAACTGTCATATGAATTAATCTAATCCAACAGAGCAGAATTTGGCCTTAAACTGTGAAACTACTGAATGATCTAATAGTGCTTACAGTACCCCTGTGAGATAGCAAAGTAACTTTATCCACGTCTTACTGTAAAATCATATGGTTATTTAGATGAGAACTATATCAGATCTTCACAGCTCTTTTCCTTTTTGAGACAACTAAGAAATAAAATATAATTCACAAACCAGACTACTTGTTAATAATAAAATGGGTATTCTGTTTTGGAGTGGTTAAGGAAAAGGTGTCTTCAGGCAACACACATCACCTACAGTAATTACTGAAGTATTATCAGTTTGAAAGGCTTGTGGAAGCAGGTTAGATTGCTAGAAGCAGTGGGTTAATGCCAGAAAAATTGTTGGCTCATCCTGTATTCTTGACATTCTCAAATATTACTGCACTTCTTCACTTTCATCTTTGTGAAATATGCAAGAAACATTTATTATGTTTGTATTTTAAATCCATTAAAATACAGAGTGATATTAACAGATGAAATAGACTGAAGTAGGTACTGATGTTCCATGAATGTGGAATTGTGAGCTGTATAAAAAGAAATTATGCCATATGCTTTTGACATAAAGGTTTAACATAATATACAGTATTTTGTGTGTTAGTGATCCTGGCTTTTTAAAGGTTACAGTAAGAAAAAAAGAAAAATTTGTATGATAGTGTATTAATAACTTGTCCGTGAGTTTTCAAAATATTCTCCTGTGAGTTCTGTCTGATGGCAATTTCATCTCAAAGTACTTCCTTTTTGGTAAAAGTCTCTAAATGTGTCATGCATGGATTTGATTAGATTCCTTTTTGTTGTATTACAGTATCATACTGCACTTAAGATGACATTCTCTGCAGACAGAAGTGTTAAAATGTGAAATTTATGGTGCCACCCATATCATTGTAGATATTTTGTTCAAAAAAAATAAACAACTTTTTTCAGAAAACGTGCAAGTTTTTTATGATATTTTAGGCAACGAATTTAAAGTCAAAGGAGGGACTATCAACACCATTGAAAAAAAGGATGAAATCCTCAGCAGTAGTTAAGGTACATTACCATTAAGTATTTCAGGAATGAAAACTTGAGAGAGGATAGAGTGCCTTCAGTTGTTACATGGGTTCCAGATCTGAAAAAAGCTCATTCTAAAAACTCAGGGAAAGTTACTTTGACAAATGCCTATTGAAATAAGTACTGCCACTCTCAAATAGTCCCAATGATCTTATTATCAAAAAGGCAAAGAATGTCACTTGCGGCAAAATAGCCTTTTGAAAATTTTATAGAACTGTGAGCCCTCCTTTTTAGTGCTCCTTGATAGAAAATACCTGAAGTTAGCAAATAAATCCTTTGTGAACAGTCTGAGTTCTGATAATCTGATTATAGCAGTTCAATGCATTTATAAAGAGCACAGAGAATGCTCATCTCAATCACAGCCACATGTTAATGTGATGCCATTTAGACCTGAAATCGTTAGCAGACATCACAAATGTTTTGCACTCCCTGCCCACATAAGACAAAAGACAACATCAGTTCACTCATTTCAACTTGCTTTTCACATTGATACAAACCAAAAACTTTGACACAACTGCAAATGAATTATTCCCATTACCTGTCTCTGATAATCCAGTTCAGCAAGTTTATGACTTGGAGCTTTATAAAATGGAAATTTCTCAAGAGAACAGTCAAATGTAATAAGACCACCAGGGAAACCTTAGCAGAAATCTTGAGCAAGCCTGCACAGAGCCACAGAACTGTGTGATCCAGTCTTTACTATTTATGACAGCTGTTGCTCCAGCAGATCTATAACACCTTGTCTTCCCAAAAGCAAAGTATAACAGGTACCTCTGATCTTGTTCAGGTAAGTTCCCAAGCAAAAATGCCATGAAGCACTGCAGTAGCAAATGTTTTCACACAGTTCCCAGAGCATGAAAAATGCAAATGCACTGTACCAGGTGTGCAACAAGAAATTAAACAAGAAATTAACAGCCAAATAATGTCACCTGTGAGTCATAGAAAAAAGAAGTAACAGATCTTAAAGAGATCAATATGTGATTGTATGGCATAAACTATGTGGCCCTTTCAACACAGAATTCTGGAAAAAACAGATATTAAATATCCTTTTTCATGATTGCATATATAGCTACCTATTTTGTACTATCCTACTTTCTATACACTATCAGGATCTGAGAACATACATTTTTTTTCTGAGTATGTGAATTTAAAACCCAGGACAACAATCATCAGAAGTCTCAAAACTAGAACTACAGGGAAATTGTCATTTTGGAAATAAATCTTTTTCAAAATGTAAATAATATACTTCTAAATATTTAATAAACAAATACATATATATAATGTTTCCTCATTAGAAAAAAAATATTTTTTCAACATTTATTTCACAGATTTACGAAGTCACAAAATGGCTGATGTTGGAAGGGACCTTGATGTTTATCTTCTGCAAACCCCCTGCTCAAGGAGGGCAACTTACAGCCGGTTACCAAAACTGTGTTCAGATGGCTTTTGAATATCTCCAGGGATGAAGACTCCACAGCCTCTGTGGAGTGCTTGGTCACCCTCAGAGTAAAAAGCATTTCATGATAGTCAGAGAGAACATTCTGTGTTTTGGTTTGTGCTCATTGCCTCCTATCTCGTATCACTGAAAAGAGCCTGACTCCATCTTCTTTATAAACTCTACACAAATTTTTACACAAATTGATGAAATCCCCCTAAACTGGACACAATGGTCTGCTTACTGGAAGGGAAACACTGCTTACTGGAAGGGTACATCACCTGCCTCAACCTCCTGGCCACACTGTTAATGCAGCTGAGCACACCATTAGTAGTCTTTGTTGTAAAGACACATTTCTGGCTTATGTTCAGCTTGGGGCCCACAGGACCCCCAGGTCCTGTTCTGAACACCTACTTTCCAGCTGTTCATCCTGCAGTATACACTGGTGCAAAGGGTTGTTGCTCCCCAGGTGCTGGGCTTTGCACCTTCCCTCACAAGACTGAAAAAACTTTTCTTGTAATGTTAATCCTTATTTAAGTGATCTGCATTTAACACCTTTACTGAGGTAAAAGTTCAACATCAAATCCACTTATGCCATGTTTTAATTCCTCTCTTAACAAGACAAATAACACACTGACTTGCCTTGAAAACATTAGGGTGTCACTTTGGATGTGTTTAGTTATTCTCAGTAGGTATATTCAGTAGGTACAGAAAACATTAAACAGTTGTTTTTAAAAGCACATGATACTGCAGCTTGTTTTTCCACCTGAATATGAGGAAGCACTTTACTCTGCGAGTGACTGAGCACTGGAACAGATTGCCCAGAGATGTTGTGGAGTCTCCCTCACTGAAGATACTCAAGAACCATCTGGATACAGTCTTTGCAATGTGCTCTAGGATAACCCTGCTTGAGCAGGGAGGTTGGACCAGCTGACCCACTGGGGTCTCTTACAACCTGAAATATTCTGTGATTCTGTATAAAGCAGAAGTAACCTTTATTAGATATGTTAGATCACTCGTTATTAGAATTAAGAGGAACTTATTTAGAACGATATTGGACATTTTGACAAATTTCAATTATACTTGATTGCATTATATGCGAATGAGGTTTCCCTCCCCATCCATTTCTCGTTTTGTAGTAGCAAAAGCATCGTCGTTTCTCCGGACAGTATAAATTAGACCACAAGATGGCTCCCTCGCACGGGGATTGAGGGGTGTAGTGGGTATTTCGGTTTGTTCCAGGAGACAAACTTTAGCAAAATGCATTCTTCCTGAAGACGTTCCACGCACTGATTGTCATTATTGAGAGGGACATTTATAAAACATAACTACTATTCATGCTACAAACCATACTTCATTTTGAAAGTTATTTGAGTGTTCTGAGTTGATGCTGTCTTAGAAGCAAAAATTAGTTGGGTCTTTGGAGTAGATTTATTACACTAAGGATGCCTGGAAATACGGCTAAAAATATACAAGCCGTTATTAACTATGCACAACAGACATTCCATTTATTAACAATATGTGTGCTGTCACTCTGTAATAAAGGCAAAGAAGGAAGTATTAAAAGGCTTCAGGGTGATCTAATTGTGGTCTTTCAGTACCTGAAGAGAACCTTCAAGAAAGATGGAGGGAGACTTTTTATAAGGGAATGTAGAAATTGGACAAGGGGGAATGTCTTCAAACTGAAAGAGAGTAGGTTTAAATCAGATATGATTAAGAAATTCTTTCCTGTGAGGGTGATGAGGCACTGGAACAGGTTGCCCAGAGAAGCTGAGGATGCCCCATCCCTGGAAGTGTTCAAGGTTGGGTTGAAAGGAGCTCTGAGCAACCTGGTCCAGTGCAACCCCTGCCCATGGCAAGAGAACTGGAATTAGATGATCTTTAAAGTCCCTTCCAACTCGAACCATTTTGCAATTCTATGATATATAGGTTTCACTGAGGAATGGGTAACTTCATATTATCTCATATCAAAAAGGAGATGCGCCCATACACTTCAGCAATGTAAATAATGTAAATCCGTAACTCAGTTTGTCCCGTGATAGCCTGTTGTATCACCACTGTCTTGCTTTCCTATCAGACTTCACCCTTTTCACATTCACTGAACAAATACGGAAACAGCAGTAAGAGCACCCTGAACTTTGATCTGAAATGATACCTGGGATATTATTATAGGGTACGAGGATACTACAGAATAGCTGCAGATTAGAACAGACACTACAGTGTACCACTAGCATCCATTTACTGTTTATCCTTAATTTCTCAACAATGTTCTGATTCAGATGCTAGTTAAATAGGACAATGATGAACACTATTAATTTTGAATTTGTACTAGTTACTAAATTGTCTCCTAAAAGTTAAAGAATTCTATGTTTAAGGTTCACAGAAGTATTTACAACTTAAAAATCAATAAATACCGTGGTTGTCATATTCTTTTTCCTACTGGCTTTGCAGGGTCCCTCAGTGATAGCACAACTGAATAACTTTGATAATTACTTTGACACTTAACAATGAACTTTTTTATATTTAACTGCATTACCAATAAAAGAAGGTCGGTAAAAATAAGACAAGAAGAGCATATCTCACTTCAACAGGAAACTTTTCACTTGCATACAATTGTGATCAGAGGTAATACAGAAACAATTTTATACCAACACATCATTTTGAGAAAATAAATTTAAAAGCACTTTCAGAAGTGTCCTATCCCTTTTTCAGCAGCCTCAGATTTAAAAGCCTCCTGTGGGCACATCCACCTGCTCCAGCATGCGGTCCACTGTAGGCTGCAGGTAGATCTCTAATCCACTGTGGACCTCTATGGGCTGCAGGGAGACAGCCTGCCTCACCATGGTCTTCACCCTGGACTACAAGGAATTCTATGCTCTGCTGCCTGGAGCACCTCCTCCCCGTCCTTCTTCACTGACCTTGGCATCTGCAGGCCTGTTTAATCTTACATATTCACACTCCTGGTTGCAAGTAGGTTTTCTTCCACCTTCCCAACTATGTTATCCCAGAAGCACTACCAAAGTCACTGATGGGCTCAGCCTTGACCAGAGGCAGATCTGTCATCAAGCACCTGACATTGGCTATATCAGATGTAGGAGAAGCTTCTGACAGCTTCTCACAGAAGCCACCCCAATAGCCCCCTGCTACCAAAACCTTGCTACTCACATCCAGTGCAACTATACATCTATATATTCCTATACATCTAAATATTCCTTAACTAAATGTTTCAGTTAATAAAAAAAAGGTCCAATACCATTTGTATGACGCAAATTCATATGTTCATTCACTATACCTAAAACATGGATTGTAAGTGAATATAAAATCGTAGAGGTAATAGGGATTTTTGCATTAAGATAGAGTCAGACATGGATGTCTACACAGACACTTAACTGAACCTGTTTTTAAAGAACTTAAATAATTTCAGCTTCACAGCTCATCAAGGC